GGGAAGGAGAGGTCTTGTAGACCACTTTTCCTGTTTGGAGACCAGTTTCTGGTTTTTGGAGCCTTCGGCCGCGCGCCTTGTCTCGGGACCGCTTAATGTTCTCCATTTGGTGTGATTTTTGAACCACACCTTGTTCCCTTGGCCTAGAGGGCCACTATGGTTTGGGGGACCACTTTTGTGGTCGTAAACTACTTTTGGTGCTCGTCAGCTAGTTTTTGAGGCTCCTGGCTGCGCGCCTTGCCTCCCGAACTTTCGTCTTGCGTCCGCTTTGGTTTGTTTTTGGTATAAACCTTGCTTTCCTTGTTTGGAAGGTGGTACAAGGGTGGGAGACCAGTTCTTCCCCTTGGAGACCACTTTTCTTCCTGCCAGCCAGTTTTCTGGCCGGAAAACTGGTTTTCTTGGTCTTTGGACCATCTTTTTTGGTCGGTTACTACACCTTTTGCTTTCTTTCATGCTGCTAACCATCTCCCACCATGGCCGACCAGTTGTCTTCTTGGGAGTAAGTGGTCGGCTGCTTTTTGTCACATTTTTGGAGATGTTTTTGGCCAGCTGGCACAGCTGGAGAGCACTAGAATCATCCTTCGTATACGTATATGGAAGGATTACCTTGAGCCTTAGCTTCTTCAAGAAGCTTGTGCTTTTGCTCTCTATAAGAGGGAGGCTCCCCCTCCCTCCTCCAGGTTCAGTTTTTTGGCTTAGAGAGTGATAGATACACCTTTATCTCTATATCTCTCTCTTTGCTTCATTTTTGTGCCTTAAAGTGCCATTTTGTCTCACTTTTGTACATAAACACACACTCAAACACCATACTCTTGGAGCTGAGGTCCCTTGAAGTTGTTTTTGGAGTTCTTGGACTAGTTTGAGCTAAAAGAAGCTGTTGGAGTTGCAGCTTTGAAGGTGGTCTTCAAGGGTGAGCTTTTAACCTTTTAAACCCCTATTTTTGCTTAAGCTTTTAGCCCTACTTGCATGTTGTTTTAAGCTTAACTCTTAACTACAAGAAGTTCTGAATTTTGGTGCTTAAGATCTTTATTTAAGGTCACTTTTGTATTTGGGGTTGTTTACCCCCTCTTAGGTCTTGTTTGGCCTTGCTTTTGTGCCTTCTTTGTGAGCTTTTGGGACCACCTTGTTTTGGCCTTCTCACCATTGAAATCCAGAGGAATTTTAGTGGTGGGGATGGTGTTTTGAGGTCCCAAAAAGGAAAGGGTATCCCCTCTCCTTGTGTCTTCAATACTTGTCTTGAATGCCTCATGTGTGAGCATGTTTGTTAAGTTTATGTTGGCCATATCTTAGCTTGTATTTGGGCTTATTTTACTGAGGCATACCACTTTTTTTACTTGGTTTGGTCACTCCATGCATGGTTTATAGACTTGTAGTGTAAATCTCATAAACTAGCTTTGTATGCTTCATGAAGTAGCATGTCATTCTAGCTTCATTTGAGTCCATCTTAGCATGTTTCTGGTGATGTTTTGCCATGTCATACCTCTGTTACAGTTTGGTTTGGTCACCCCTTGCATGCTTCATGCACTTGTAGTGCATTTTCATGAATTAGCCTAACATGCATCATGCTTTTACATGTCATTCTAGCATGCTTTTGGCTTAACTTCAAGAAGCTTTTGTCCATGTTTTAGCATGCTCTAGCTCTGATTTTGGTTGTTTTGGCCATGCATGACTTGCTTTGTATAGCCATGGTTCAATCTAGCTTGTTAGCCTTGTGCACCAAGTCCACTAGCATGCATTGCTTGGACTATTTGAATGATTTGACATCATTTATTATGTGATTTCAGTCCATGTTTCATGCTCATGCACTTGTATTTATCATTCATTCAATGCGTTGGAGGGTTTGCCGCTTTGTGCCTTAACATGAATCATTACGTATGCCTTCATGCCTTAGCTTGCGAGCCATCATTTCAATGTGTTTTTGGGGTTATCTTGACATGATATAACTCTAATTTTTGTTGGTTAAGTCATCCCATGTTTGGTCTTAATAGGTGTAGTGTAGTCCACCTTATTTGCCTTGTATGCATCATGCCTTATGCCCTTCATGCTAGCTTGTTTTGGCTTCCTTCCATGCATGTTTTAGACTCATTTTAACATGTTCTAGGACTGTTTTGGGTTGCCTTGATCACATGCTTCATGTTTTTCATAGTTGTAGTACAAGTGCTCTTGCTAGCTTCAAGCTTTGGGCACCATAGCATGCTTCATTTGTGTTGTGTATATGATTTGGCATCATTCATCATGTTATTTCAGAGTATTTAGCATTGCCATGTTCCCACTTCATTCACTCTTTAAGTGCCTTTGAGTGTTGTGCATTGTTGCCTAGTTTGTGGCCTAGCATGTATGCCATCTTGCCTAGGTATTTGAGCCTCCATCTTAGCATGTTTTGGTCTTTGTTTAGACCTAATTAAGCTCTGTCTATGGTTGTTTCATGCACTTGTGCCATGTATTGCATGCCTCCTTTGTAGTCCTCCTTATTAGCTTTCATGCTTTAGGACCTTTGCATGCTATGCTTGCTTTGTTTGAATGATTTGACATAATTTCTTACTTAATTTCAGTGCATTTAGTGTTGTTACACTTCCACATTTATCACTCCTTGAGCCTTCTTGAGGGTTGTGCTCTTAGGCCTACTTGGTTGGCCAATGCATTGTGCATGCATGCTTTGTATTTTGTGCCTTTATTTTGGTGTTATGGCCACTGATTTGGGCATGGCTGAGGTCTACCCACATTCGATTTAAGCCCATTGAGCATTGTGTATGCCATGTTACATCGCATCGTGCGTGTTATGTTACTGTTTGCATTGCGCATGCCATGCTCTTGATTCGCATTGTGTATGCCATGATCATATTGCATTGAGTATGCCATGATCATATTGCATTGAGTATGCCATATTGTTCATTGCATTTTTGTATGCTATGTTCATTTGCATTGTGCATGCTAGTTGTTGTTCATATTGTTACATGCTTATGTTGTCTTGCATTGAATATGCATGCATTAGCATTGTGCATTGCGCATTGCGAATGCCATTAGCCTTGTTAGGTTGTTCATATTGCATTCCATGTTTGCATGTTTTAGTCATATTGCATATTTGCATGCTTGTGTTGCATTGTCTTTTTGCATATTCCATGTTACATAGCATTGTGCATGCCATGTTATGCGTTGCATTTTGTTTGGAATCGGTGTTAGTCCAAACACGAGAAATGAGGGGCATTTCATACTTAAAGTGATGAAACGTGCCTCAATTCTTGGTCGCCGACGTTCTTGATCATACATGATAGAGTTCTAGGCCTTATGTGTTTACTTGTGCATTCATTTTCATATTAAATTGTGCAACTTCGCCTCTCGGCCATCATGCATCGAGATAGCAAAAAATGGTCAGCAGGTGGCTGCAAACACCAACAACTGGTAGGCCACCCTTCCACAAGTCCCCAAGGTGAGTTGGAAGCTTTCTGGAGCTTGGTGCAAGTTTCTGAAAGCATTTGCAAACAGAGGCAAATCGGGGCATCGTGATGGATTTCCGAACGAGGCGATCGGGCATGCATGCATTCTTCTCCATCTGAGGATCATTGTTTTATTGCTTTACTTAGCTAATGTGATTAGCTAGTTTATGCTTTGGCTTGTATTTAAGTAGTTAATGTGTTTAGTTGCTTAACTGTTTTGTAATAGTTAGTTAACTAGGATTAGTTAATTAGCTTCGTTGTGATGTAATAATTAGTTTAATTAGCTTAGATTAGCTAGTTAGCGTCTTATTCGGTCCCTCCGTCAAGAGGGCCAACTGTTGTAATAAGCGTGCGTGTATGTGATGCATGTCTTCCAACCCACATTTCTTTCTCCCTTTTACTTAACCATTTACGATAGTTAGTCTTAGGGCATATTTCGTTTAGCATACCTTATGCTCGCATGCGTGCATCATTCATCTGTTTTGCATGCACCGGACTCGGCGCATCATACTAATTGCATTGTATTTCAATACATTTAGTTGAATACATGTTATCAAGTTGCATTTCACATGCCATCTTAGAATAGCCTAGCCTATTTTAGTTGCATTCTCGCATGTGTTGCATTAGCCATCTTAACATGAACTAGGATCATGTATGATTTCTAACTAGTTCTTTGTTTTGGCTCGGAGTACACTGTGAGTGTTTACGCTTTAGCATACTGCATGTGTGTTATTGATTGCCATGAAAGCATGTTTGCCATGAGGCTAATTGCTTATTTGATATAACTGCTTGAATGCCTGTGGGTGAAGGTTGGATTACTTGAATTGGAACAATTCATTAAAATCCTTGATTTAGCCTGCTTATGAGTAACAAACTCCAAACCATTTTCAAACGAATATGCAATGTTTTGTTCCAAATTAGGTGATCTAGTCTATACTTGTATGCTGTGCGCATCACGTAGTAAGATTAGCCAATTAACCGGAATAAGAGCACATGTGTTTTCAAAAACAAAATATCATACTTAGTACAAGCCGATCTTTGATCAGGCGAGCGGGGGTGCTCATTGCATGACCTTCCCCTCTCGTACCCAGGCTCCCGAGCCGAGGCAACTTTGGTGATGACGGACACGTGGCCTTAGGCACGAGTCAGGGTTTCCTAAATTCCTCCAAAATAAAATATTTAGGTGGAAACTCTGTATCTAGCAAAGCAGTCCATGTTTGACACTTCTTTATTAAAATCATTTTTTCCAAAAACGATTTGCCGGATTTGGACTCTTTGGTGATTTATCGGTCTTGCATTGCACTTTGCAAGATTAGATTCAGAACTGTGACATTGAGTCCGGACTGTAGTAGCTCAGAACAAAACGAGATTCGCGCCCCTCGCGAGCGCGGATATCGGAGAGTTCCCGGGAGCGCGTCTACATCTAGTTAGTACTTTGTTGAGTCAATGTAACTATTTTTGTTCTTCAATACTCACCTGAAATTCTTCTACATATATGCAAGACTTTTTGGTAGCAATTAAAGTAAGAACTATGTCATCACTAATCAATGCAAATTTCAAGAGATATTGGCATCAAATTAGAACATATTTCATTGATGAGTTAGAACACCAACTGAAGAAACTACTGGCCAATTTTTAGGGACTATAGATTAAGACTCCAACAAAAAAAATAATAACAATAACAAAATAAATCAGATCGATAAACATATCTTGTAGTCGGGAAGAATGCTGATGGACCAAGGAGGCAGGTTGTAGTGCATATTTCCAAAAGCCAACTTTGCAAAGGAATTAGAATTGTAGTTTGCAAGGAATGCAGCACAATCTCCAGACTTTGAATTGCAAACATGAGCCTACATGGAACGATTATAGGAAGAAATAACATTTATTTTCAACACAAGTATAAGATAAGATAAATGGTTCTTGGAGAATGATTGTAACTCTAACCTCCTGATAGTTCCCAAGAGGGATCACAGTGGGATCTCCTGATACTAAAGCTGGCTCACACAACTTTATCGCTCTACGCAGATCTTTCAAATGACCCCATTTGGGTAGTCTTAATAGTCCTAGACCAAAAGAGGAAATAACCCTTAAGTTTATTGAAGAACATATAATCTTTAAAATTGTATGTTTTCTTGAGCCATCTACATCTCCCTATCAGGAAAAGGAATGACATTTTCTCACGAATCATGACAAAAATGATTGTAGAGAAGCTATTAACATGATGGTTGTAATCATTTTATTGTCGTACTTTCACTTTCATTATGAGTCCCCCATCAATTGATAATATTCAGCTTCTCTAATCAATTTGATCACCATCATAACCACTAACAACTAGCGAAATCCAAGCTAGTTTGAATCTCCCCTAAATGAGAAGACTTTCTTGCTTTCTTTCCATTGTCCACACAAAACCTGCAAATGGATGATCATTATGGCACGTTTTTAGTCTTCACCTGGACGGAATTTCACAGAATAATCTATTCAAATAGCCAAACCACCAATTCTTTCTAGGGTTAAAAAAGACAGTTAATTTAAAAGATGACTTGTAACAAATCTCATGTCAATTATGAACGTACAGCACCAGCCCCCTTTCACTAGACAAAGTTACACGTGCAAATATTTCGCATCAAAAAGGAACATTGCCTCATGCCTATAGAACTGCAAAACCCCACGTGTGATCAAACTTGAAAGTGTTGCATCCGTCTGATCTCAAATTATCAAACTATAATATAAAGTCCTCTCCTTTGAGAAAAATATCAATTTCATACAGAAAGAATGCCAAAATAAGATCCATACACTTGTAAGAACTAGTAAGGTTGAGAAAAAGACAAAAACATCACCGATGTGAAGTGAAGCGAACAAACGAAGAAAAAACAGTTTCAAAAATTTTGTAAGGAATCACCTCATAATCAACTCCTTGTATATAGATATAATCAGAGTCAATTGATGCGAAAGAAAGTCCAGTTATCTCCAGTATCAACGTAGAAGTTATTTCTTGTTGCAAAATTAAGAACTCCCAGAAGTAAATATAAAACCTACAATACTTTGAACAAAAATATGAAAATTCATGATAAATAAGCACAAGGAATACAAAAGTTACGCTTTTTATGCAGCAACAATTGTAGGTGAAGCCAACCAATGATGACTCTTTAAGGTTGTAGTCAGTATGAACAGTTATGAATGAACAGCTGAACAGGAAACCTCTTCTCTTCTGAAAATCTCTAACAAATGTATAAGCCTCAAATACGCAAGTTTCTGATTGTGAAAATTTGAACCTTGGAGATCAGTTTGTTAGGCAAGATATATACGAATGTGTTCGTGTATACCTTTATCAGTTAATTTTTAAATATAAATATTAGCTTGTAATCATGAGAAAAGGGACAAACTTCTACCTAAGACTTGACAACAAAACATACCCTACAACCAAACCAAATTATTGAACACAGAATATGCCTATAATGGCGGGCTGCTGTAGGACTAATCACAGATAAAAGCCCAGTTTAAGAAATTTCCAAAACTATAAATAACTGATAATGGATGATTTTTGATGACTTTCTAGCATGATCATCTAAAAACTTCTCATGGTTAAAGTAAAATGGCAATATAAACTGAGGATATTCATAAAAGTAATCATTTCTTTTAACATGTATAGTAAATAGGTTGTTTTGGCTTACAAACCTCCACCATCCCATTTAAACAATAGATACATACATGCGAGTGTATTTGCAGGTTATACACACAAAAAAAAAAAAATTATCAGAAGATAATATGTTTCATTTCAGAAATTAGCTATAAAAGGTCTGTGTAGAGTAGATGGAATGTTTGTAAGGAGATATTGTCAAACTTTCAACACCAAAGCCCAAAAAACTACCTCTTTAAAGCACTATTGAATTGACAAGGAGGAAAACATATGACAAGGAGAAATGAATAAATGGAAATACTAATGGATTCTATCTATGCAGGGTAGACTTCTATTTCTTTCCTTTTTCTTCGATAGAAGTGCCAAATTTAAATATGTGAACAACAATGCATAGGTAGGAAACATATCTTTCAAAATATGGGTTGTTAACACTTCACATTTGTTATGCAGATTCTAAGTTTTTTTCTTTTGAATTGGTATTGTTTATTAAAAACATTTATGAAGCATGTGGACTACTAACAATCCCAGACATCTACCCTACAACCATCAACAAGACTTAATGATCACAAGTATTTTATTCTTCACTGTTATATTATAAGAATCAAGACATTTGATTCTTCATTGTTAATCCAGTAAAATCTAAACTCAACCATTCACAACTTTGTTCTCCTTATAAAATCTAGCCACTGGTGAAGAACATGGAGTAAAAGTTATTGAGAATTTTAAGTGACCTCATATTTTGAGCAGTGCACCCATCTCGATAGCGCTGACCACCTACAGTCAGGATGTAAAAATGAAAATCAACATATTAACCAATGCAAGATTAAGTGGAATTTAGTATCCAATTTTCTTTCAATCTGTCTGATTGCAAATGAAACTAAGCACAAGGGGAAATGATATATTATATTGAAAAGAAAGGAAAAATAGGGGGAAAGGTATCAAACCCTAAAATCAAACCTATTTACAACATTAAACCCATAAAATTCTAGTAATGAAACCACTTCAAACAAACCCATTTCAGAAGTGAAGACAAAATTAAATTGAATGGGTAGAATAAACGACCCTAGAACAAGAGTTCATAGTTGGGGAAATAGAAGAAGGGGTAGAGAGAGAGCGAGATAGAGAGAGTCAGAGCGAGACAGAGAGCAAGAGAGCAACAGAGCGAAAGGGAGTGAGAGAGCGAACCTGTTAGCGACGGTGTCAATGCTAATATGTGGCGTACGGGGACCGACGGTGTTGAGGATGCGCGGTCGTGAGGTTTGATCGCCATGAGGTTTGTTGATTTGCGGTGGTAAGGTTGGCTGAGACACAGGTTCGGTGGTTGTGGTGTATACACAGAGAGGGTAAAAGTGGGAGACAGAGACGTGAATATGAAATTACTCCCTCTATAAAATTTTGAGCTTCCACGACTAAATGATTTTTTTGTCGGGAAATGTATGATTTCATGTCCTTTGGCGACTAAATATTATTTTAGTCGCAAAAGGGTGCGAAAAATCTGACTAAATATTATTTTAGCCTAAATTATATGCTATTGGCGACTAAAATTATTTTAGTCGGTAAAAGTAGTATTTTGGCGACTAAATATTATTTTTGTCGCTAAAAAGGGTGCGAAAAATCTGACTAAATATTATTTTAGCCTAAATTATATACTATTACCGACTAAAATTGTTTGACGCTAAAAGTAGTATTTTGGCGACTAAATATTTTGGTCGCCAATTAATTTTATAAACCCCTCCAAAATTCGAAATTTTCCCTCCAAATATTTTAATTCTTTAGCGACTAAAATATTGTTTAGTCGCTAAAAATAAATTTTTGGTGACCAAATTTTTAGTCGCCAAAAGTCTGAAAGTAATTTTTTATTTTTCATTCGGCGACTAAAAAAATTTAGTATCCAAAACTATCTATACAACGACTAAGACATTTTTTAGTAGCTAATTGTGGGCATTTTTAGCGACTAAAACTTTTTTTAGTCGCCAATAATCAATATTTCCCGACTAAAAAAAATTAGTAGCTAAATATTGTACTTTTGCCGACTAAAAAACTTTTTAGTATCCAATTCCACAAGTTTTGGTGACTAAATTTTTTTTAGTCTCCAAATTTGGTCCCCAAAAGTGCTTTTTGTTGTAGTGAGAATTTAACTCCTTGGTTGGCAGGTGAGTTAAAGGGGGAAACTTCTGGCATTGACCACATTTCTTGACATAATACTCAGCGTCGGTTCGCATGGTCGGCCAATAGTACCCCTGCGATACGGCGCGGTGAGCCAGAGAACAACCGCCTGAATGGGCTCCACAACTACCTTCATGTATTTCAGATAAAAGTTCCTCGACTTTATCCGGGTGAACACACTCTAGGTATAGCCCGGAGAGAGATTTTTTGTAGAGCTTCCCCTGCGAATCCAAATAGTATCGGAGGGCTTTGTTTTGGAGTTTGTGTGTTTCTTTCTTATCTACCGGAAGCTGTTTTGAAGATAGGGATGCGGCGATAAGGTCCATCCAACTCGGACTTGGTTCGATAACGTTGACCTGAACTAGTTCTGAAGAGGCAATGCTCGGCTCGAGGACAAACCCTACTTCAATTGTCCGCTTAATTTCTGAGTTGATAGTAGAGGCTAGGCAAGCCAGGGCATCTGCATGAGTGTTCTGATCCCGGGTTATTTGATTCAGTTCATGGTGATCAAATTTCGCGAGCAAAGAATTCACCGTTTTCATATAGGCTGCCATGCGGTCATTTTTGGCTGCATATTCCCCTTTCAACTGGTTGATTACTAGCTTTGAGTCATAGAAAATAAGCAGACGCCACGTGCCGAGGTGAAGTGCATTTCACAGGCCGGTTAATAGTGCTTCGTACTCGGCCTCATTGTTTGATGCGTCGAATCCCAATTTGATGGCCTGTTTGATTATTGCCCCTTTAGGGGTCATGATTACTACGCCAGCTCCACTGCCACGCTGGTTGGATGACCCATCGCAATACATCTGCCAAATGTCGCCAACATATATTCTCCAGTCGGGCTTAGTTTGCACTTGATCAGACTTAAAGTCGGCCCGGGATCCTGTGAACTCGGCAACAAAGTCGGCGAGCACTTGCCATTTGATGGAAGTTCTGGGTAGAAATTGGATATCATATTGGCCGAGTTCAAGAGCCTATTTCGAGATGCACCCAGATGCCTCCGCGCTGCGGAGCGCTAACCGAAGGGGATATTCCGTTGGCACCCCAATGGTATGCCCCTGAAAGTAGTGCATCAGTTTTCTTGCGCCATGACGAGAGCAAGGATAAGATTTTCTAATGGAAGGTAATGTGTCTCGGCGTCGGCCATAGCTTTGCTCACATAGTAAACTAGTCGTTGATCCCCTAGTTCTTCCTTTAACAATACGGCGCTGACTGCCCGGTCGGATACTGCCAGATACAAAATGAGTGGATCGCCGGCTGCAGGTGTTGCCAAGAGTGGAAATGATCGGAGGTAAGATTTCAGGTCATCCAAAGCGGCCTGGCACTTGGGAGTCCAATCAAATGCTCTACCTTGCCAAAGTGTGTGAAAGAATTGTCGGCAGCGATCTGTAGAATGGCTGATAAATCCGTTGAGCGCGGCAGCCGTCCCCATTAGCTTCTAAACCTCTTTGACTGACCGAGGGGATCCAAGCTCTAGAATTTCCGTGATTTGCCTTGGATTGGATTCGATTCCGCGATGGTTAACGATATAACCAAGGAATTTCCAGAGTCGATGCCGAATGCACACTTAGAAGCGTTCAATTTCATCTTGTACTTTCGAAGAATGCCGAATGTCTCTGACAAATAGGCTAAATATGAGTGCTTTTCTTTGGATTTGACCACCATATCATCAATGTATACTTCCATAGTACAACCAAGTTGTTCCTTGAACATGGAAGTCACTAGTCTTTGATAAGTTGCCCCCGCATTCTTCAGCCCAAAAAGCATGACCTTGTAGCAATAGGTTCCTCTTGGGGTGAGGAATGCGGTTTTTTCTTGATCCTCTAGATGTATGGCAATTTCATGATAGCCTTTGTAGGCATCCAAGAAGCTCATGCGTTGATGATATGCCGTTGTATCTACGAGTTGGTCTATTCTGGGCAGGGAAAAACAGTCCTTGGGACAAGTTTTGTTTAAGTCCGTAAAATCCACACAGATGTGCCAAGAGCGATTCTTCTTCTTTACGACCACAGTATTGGACAACCATATAGGATAAGTTACTTTGTGAACTGTCCCGGGGTCAAGTAACCTAGCTACCTCTTCAACGACGGCCGAAGTATGCTTCGCGGTTAACCGCTGGTTTCTTTGAACAATTGGCTTACATTTCGGATCAACGTTCAATCGGTGTTGGGTCACTGATGGATCTACTCCTGGCATCTTGTATGGGGACCATTCAAACACATCAATATTGCCAAGTAAGAAGGATACCAATTCTTGTCTTTCGATGTTATCCAAGAAAGCGCCGATCATGAAGAACTTGTCAGGATTTCCGTCAATTTTGACCCAATACAAGGCCTCGGTTGCTTTTTCACTTGGGATCCTCCCAATGTCTTCGAGACTCTCCCTATCTGGTACCTCAATTGAATGCACTTACAGTTCCTTTGGTCTCTTTGTAGCTAGAAGATAGCATGCCTGCGCTGATTTCAGAGAGCCGCGAATTTGTTCGATACCGTATTCAGTAGGAAAACGGAGCAGTTGGTGGTAGGTGCTCGGCACGGCTTGAATCGTATGTAACCAAGTTCTGCCCATGATCCGATTATACGGCGAAGGGAGCTTGACAACTAAAAATTCTACGTCTATTGATCTGGTTCCGGCCCATACAGGTAGTGTGATCTTACCCAAAGGGTACTCCGGGTTAGCATTGAAGCCGAATAACGGCTAATCAGCTGAAGATAGGTCCGAATCGGTAAAACCAAGTTTGACAAAAGTTTTTTAATACATTATCTCCGAAGTGTTGCCCTGGTCAATGAGAACACGCTTAATGATGAATCTGTTTACATGTAGCTTAATGACGAGGGGATCAGTGTGGGGGTGGGTCGCTCCAACTAAGTCACTGTCATCGAAACTAGTCCTTCTAGTGTTGTGTGGTCGTTTCGCTGGCATCATTGGGCTATGGAGGCTAGATAGCAACTGGATTGTGTGCACCTCAGGTAGGGGTGAGCAGCGGATATACCGATCCGCCAAAACCGACCGAACCGAACCGATCCGCCGCAATGTGGACGGATGCGTGATGACGAGCGGACGGTTGCGGATTGATTTTCTCCAATCCGCCAATTTGGCGGACGGATGGCGGATTTGAGATTTTTTGGCCGCGCCCACCCCTAACCTCAGGTGGTGCCGGCAAGCTGTATATCATATGAATTACACCAAGAAGGGATGACTCCAGCCGTAGAACCATTGTATTTGCTGAATTGTTCTTTCGGACGTATTGCGTAAGACGACCGTCTTACACCAATTCTTCCAGGTGATCTTTTAAAAAGAAACAACTATCGGTGTCGTGACCATGGTCTTTATGATACTCACATCGTTTATCTTGTCTTCTCGCATCGGGGGGTCCCGTCATCTTGAGTGGCCACTTGAAGAACGGAAGGTGCTGTATTTTTGACAGAATCTTATTGATCGGCTCTGTTAGTTCCATGTATTTCTTGCTTGAACGCCTTGTGCACCTGCTATCCACTTGATACTATTTATTAGCTCGATGTGAACATTGGTCGTTTGATCGGCGCGAATCATGCCTTTTGTCTAGTTTAGGTCGATTTCGCCGCTCGGGGATTCTTGACGGCACGACACTAATCGGCTGAATAATTACCGACGTGACCGACTCAACCGCTTTACATCCGGCTTTGACTCGAAGGGCATCGTCTTCCATTTTGCAGTACTCTTCGACCTTCTTCATTAATGTTTAGACGGTTTTGGGGGGGTGCCCGGTTAATGAACTGCGGAGGGAGCTATATGGATGCAATCCCATATTAAAGGCAGTGATGGCCATTGAATCATTGCAAGCATCATCTACCAGATTAAAGCACTCCCAATAGCGGGCCAAGTATTCAAGAAGAGTTTCTTCCGGTTTAATTTGCATGGCCCAAAGAGAATCGGCTTGCTTCGGCTGGGCCTCATTAGTGATGAATCTCGCCTTGAATGACTTTTGGAGTTGGTAGAAGCTCTTAATCGATGCCGACTCCAGTTTATAGTACCACCTCACGGCCAGTGGTCCCAGATTGCTTGGAAATATCCGACACATGAGGGATTCATCGTCAGCATGGAGCGTCATCGCTTGTTTGTAATGACGAATGTGATCAGTGGGATCTGATTTTCTGTCATAGAGGGTGAACGACGGTGCCTTGAACTTTTTGGGTAGCACAGCCCTGGCAATTCGTCTCACAA